TGAGTTTTGCAATATTGATTCGAGATTCGAGAGATGAGAATTGATGTTTAGGCTTAGTTTCAATAGGCATGTTAATCTATAAATGGTTAGGTCGAGATTCGAGAGATGAGATTTCATACCGGTAAATTGATTATGTGATTATAATACATAGTGACAGCCCTTTATAATCTGATTAATTTATGCATTGATGATTGATTGTTATTTTTACCCTGAAGTATTATTTATTGGTGAACCTATACCCTAGACCTTTTATTATTGATTATTCCCTTATTTAATTTGTTTAGTTTAATTATTAGTATAATTTACACAATACAAATTGGTTACTCGATAATTTAGATTATAATAATTAATTAGGAGTAAAAGAACATTGTTTTCCTGTGGATTCGACCCTACTTCCCTAACTACTTTAGTTAGAGGACTTAGGTAATTACTTTTGATTAGGTGATACGACTAGATCCTGTCATGGAGTCAGACACCTCGTCCTCCGCATTTTCCTTGCCATCCGTCTGGTCCATGATCTTCTTGTTGTATTGATCGGTACAGATGGCGAATTGGCACTCCCTTTTTTCATAGCCGAACTCTAGGAAGAGGGCCGCCCAGGTCATCTTCATGATGGCACTACAGTCGTCCATCATGTCCTGAACAATGGCCATATTCTCCTTGCCAGCTTTCTCATTAAGCTTTTGGGTGAGCTGAGCCTCTTGATTCTGCAGGCGGCCCTTGAGTTTATTCACCCGGTTGCAGAGTCCCTCGGCCTCCTTGTCCACCTCCTTGGAGACGCCAGCTCAGCTTTGAGGTCCTTTACAGACTTCTCTAGCTCCAAGATCTTCTTCCTGGCCGCCTCCAAGTCCTTCTTGACCTGCAAAGTGGCGGACATCTAGTAATACAGTATGTCAGTGGTCAGAATCTCGTTTTGATCTCTCTAGAACATAGCTTTATCAGAATCAGAGGCGGCCATGGCCTTCGCAGCTTTTACCTCTTTGTTCTTCTCGTTGATGGGTTTGTGGAGACCATACACTCGCAGTATAGACTACACTTGGCCAAAAAAAAACAGACGTCAGTTACAGGCGGCTAGGAATTTAAATATGCAATATGTTAAGAATTTCCACCAAATATACCTCAGCAAGAAGAGCCAGGATGGTTTCTAAGTCAAGGGTGTCGACTCCCTTGACAGCTTCCCTCTCCTCGAGGGGGATGGCCCTTAGCATGGACTTGGCGAGTTGAACCAGGTCCGGCTCTTGAGGGGCATCTGCAAAGTAGACCCTGATTAATACGCGACATAAAAACAGAAAGCAAGCCGACTCATTTCAAAGGAGTCGGCTACTTGATGAAACTTGAGAGATTTGAACAAATTATACCTCTCGCCGCCTCCTTCTCTCTTGGAGGTCGGCTGCTCCCGGGGGCAGCCGCAGTTCTTCCCCCGCTTTGAGGAGTCCTTCCTTGCCGTTCGGCCGCATGTCTTCTGGCGTTGCCAGAATTCGACTCATCCCCAGTCATCTGTTTCCTGACCTTGGGATCCGGCTGGTTAGAGGAGGAAGGTCTGACTAAGTCGCTCTACAACACAAGTCATTGAGTTAGAAACAGGAGACAAATATAAAAAGAAATTGTGCTAAGTTAAAGTAGCTCACCCTAGGCGCCTGTTTGGCAGGCGACTCCTCAGTGGACCACTTGCCCAGAATGGCCGCGCGGTACTAAGCGATAGCTTTCTTGGAGGCCAAGATTTTTTCCATCGCTTTATCTGCAAAAGATGAATCAAATGGTTACACTGAATCAGCCAAGTCTTTCAAGACACTCTAACAGGTGGTCCACTACCTCTTGGCATCTCCCCACTAAGGCCGCAGGGGGCCAGATATGTCCCATTGTATAACCAGTTATACTTTGGGATGTAATTTTGAGGGATGAATTCCCTCACCCCAGTCTCGGGGTTTGCCTGTATACCAACTTTGAAGAGCCCTCGGTCTAGGATCTCTTCTCTTGCTTTTTGAGGAACAGGCGGGAGATCAGATCCGCCTGTTAGGTAAGGTGGATCCCTGTTCCACCTATTGAACTTCTTGTTCTGGACCCCTTGTCAGAATGGGAGACTATGTATAAGGTGTTCCTCCAATCCTTCCACTTGTTCTCTTTCCCCATGGTCATCATGTAGCCCTTGTGGCTAGTCAGCTGGAACCAGCCGGTCCCGCTTGTTTTTGGGGTCCGACTGAGATAGTTCATGTGAGTGAATGCTTCGAAGTTAGGCTCTACCTCATGCATCTCACAGCTGGCAACATAGCCTAAAATGTTGAACCAAGAGTTTGGGGCCAGTTGCCAGACCCCCAGCTGGTACCCGTCTAAAATCCTCTCTACAGCGGATGTAGAGGAAATCTCAAGCCAACCTTAATGGCCGCTTCATAGCAGCCAAAACACTTGTCCTGGTAGCTAGCCGCCTCTGGCCAGACTACGGTATCCTCGGCATTCGGCACTGTAAGAATGTAACCATGACCCATTACGTGGTCAGCCCTAAAACGACCAATCTTTTCAGACATGCCTTCCGCCTGCCTTTGGGAACGTGGGAATAGTAAGGGGCAAACATGTCTCTTTGGGTTGCAGCCGGCTCTGCCCAGCCCTCTCCCTTTTCTACTGAATGACCTTCTCTCGCCGCATGCAGCCGAGAGTGCTTCTCCTTAGAGTCGGCAGAGTACCGACTGGAGTAACTGGGCTCAGAGTCATTGCTCGAGCTCTCGGGCAAAGCAGCCGCCTTTCCGGATAGATCAATGATAGAAGGGTCATTCTGTACCTCCTCTCCTGATTCTGCCAAAATAGAATCACTCGGGGTGCTTGGGACGCCAGGCGGCACGTCCGAGATCTCGCTAACAGGCGCATAGAATGAGGAGCCGTCTGAATTTGTTGTCCTAAGAGTTCTCTTTGTTCTGGCCATGGTGTCCTGCACAGACACATAGATAGTCGAACTCGGGGCAGTTCGCAAAGGGTGGTCCAGCGTAGGGCAGTTGGCACTCCTAGTTCTAGATTCAGCCGTCCCCGGTGACCGACTGATCACTAACCTAGGTCGTGTCGTGTGCTTTTGGGCTACCATTTTTGAAAAAAAAAAACAGAAAAACAAACAAAGTGCAAAAGAAAACAGGCGGTTACCTTTGAGTAACGAAGTCTGAGAACTTTTGAAAAATCGAGCGGCTGAAAAAGCAGGCGGTCTGAAGGCAAGCGGCAATCGTCCAAAATGTCAGAGCAAAAGTCCAAAGTTCTGTCTGAAAATGTTTTCTAGAATGTCCAAATGATTTGGACATCCCCTAATTATAGGGGGGAATTTCAAGAGACAATAAAAATAAAAAATAAAATAAAATAAAATAAAAAAAAACGGGTAAAAAGCGTTAGCCAATCAGAGCGTGACACCTGGCACAGGCGCCACGTGGCATGCCACGTTACCCCTGTGAGGGACAAATGATTAGGGGATTTTCTCCCACCACGTGGACTAATGGAACTCTGCCACATGTCAACCACGTGGACCAACCTGAGCCCGCCACGTGTTACCTCGTGAGAGGTCCTAGGTGGACCAATCAGGCCACGACACGTGGCAGACAGATTGCCAACCAGGAAACCGGCCTCTAACGGCCCAAATTCCCAGGCAAAGCCCAGTCAGTCCTAGGTTTACTAAAACCTAGTACTATGCACGTTTTCCAACACTCTATAAAAGGGAGATGTTCCCCCTCGGGAACAAACAATTAATTCCATTCATAAATACATCGAGAGAAAGTCAAACACCTGACACCTCGAACTGAGCAATTACACATTGCAGATACTCTCTTGGAATCCAAGAGAGACCTTTTGCTTTCCATTCTTTACTCCTCAAACACGCTCTAACTTGATCGTCGGAGGCGGAACTCCACCCAACCGGAGTCTCCGTTGTTTTGCAGGTACAGGCGTCCAGAAACCAATCCCGGAATTGTAACTCTCCCGCAGGACATCAAAAAACCCCGAAACACCAACGATATTTGTTTTGGGAAAAGATATGATGTATCTTTTATCTATTTCTATCTTTTATGCTTTCTTACTTAGATGAGATTTGTAATTAGGAAATTAGATAGATTTTAGGTATATAATCAATATAGGATTATTTAGGCTTGGGGAGCAAGTAAAATATACTAATTGATGTGAGTTTCTAGGTTATCCTATATAAGAGGGTTTAGGATTACTAGAAAATTAATGATGGTTTTATTGAGGAAGAAAATCATCAAGAGGGTCATTGTCTAATGATGATTTATTGAGAAGGAAAATCATCAAGAGAGCTATTGTCTTATTTTGTAGGAACTTAATAAATTAATATTTTGTTTGAGGGGAGGAAATCCAACTTTCCTCATTAATATTGTCTCTTTTATTGTCGTGTTTTGCTATTTATATTATTTTGTGTTTGATGGTGAATTCCCAAATCGTTCCATTGCACATATCCATTATAACATAACAGATTGTGAAACTTTAGGAGGTGAGGTGAGTATGGGATTCTAAGGAGATGTAGTAGAATTATAACTCTTTAGGTATGAGATTTCATCATTAAAACCCCAACTAAAAAATTGATAGACTGGATTCTAACTTCATTCTAAAATATCCAACCATACGACTTATTTGTTTCTTTTTTTATTCCATTTCCAATATATGTACAGCACATACTCTTAAGTTTTAACTATTTGCATGAAAAATACTTGTCAAAATAGGTACTTGCCACTGAAGATGATATTCATTATTTGACTTAGTTCTAAACTGTAGTCAATATATCTGATGCACTTCAGGAACTTTTGAAAATTATAAAAGCAGAGAAATAATTGTGAAGATGAATTTGCGGTTGGATGAACTAGAATCTAATCAATCTAGGAGTGTGGAAGAGCCTGAAATGCATTACTACGGAGCAAGCAGAGGACAGTAATCTCTGAATAAGCACAAGCTTGTCCTCAGACTTCAGTTAGAGATCATCACATAAAATTGCACTCTGCAACACCTTGCGAAACAAAAGATGATGGAGTAATAGGGTAAAAGCTGTGAAATAACAGCTTCAAGCAACCAACTGCAAATACAAGCTTTGTTCGTCCACAAAATGTAGCAAAATTATATCACAAGCTTTAATCAACTAGCAGAAACAGATTTTTTTTTATTTTTTTTCATTACAATAGATGTCCTAAGGAGAATGCACATGTAACTCAACGAGATTAATACAGCTTGTATGTATGTAGTCCACTTCATTACAAAGACGTGGTCACTGGTAAAGATGGGAAAGGAATGTAGAATCACTAATACACAATCTGGGAGATTCTGCTCCAGTTCACAAGATAGAAAGATGGTTAGCAGTGAAGTTTGCTCGGGCTTCCAAAAATAAATGAAGGAATTGATAGAAATGGAGGCAGCGGCTAGGATGAGAAAGAGGAGAAAAATTACAAGTTCTTTTTGAGCTTCCCTGGCTTTTCCTTCAACTTTTCAATTTTTCCACTTACAACGCTACTTTGGTTACTGACTGACCCTTCTTCAGCACTGCACATTTGAGACTTCAGCCTGAAACCCAACTTCTTGGACACATTGCCCCAAGCACTTGAACTCTTACCTCGACCAAGTTTTTCAATTTCATTTCTCATGTTTGTGCACTCCTGCTCAAGCTCAGAAACCCGCATTCTCATGTTGTCCATTCCAACTTTCAATACCTGATTCTCTCTCACTGCGGTAGCCCAACCTCCTTCATTGGATCCAACAACGCCACTTCTCAACTGTCTGGAGCCTTCAAGATTCTCTGAAACCAAAAAGCAGCCAGCAATCGAATTTCTTAGCTGGAGCTGCTCAAAGAAGAGGACTTGTACTACTATTCTTAGAGGCAACCTCTCATTCTGGGCGGCATGGGTACAAGCTTCCAAGGATAATTTCTGACAATCCATTAGCCTACACAACTGTTCTCTCTCTGCTTCTGATAACCAAGGATGAGACTGCATATAACAAAATCATCATTAGACACATATGACTCAAGAAGATGGGGCTTGGTATATATTAATATAAACAAACTTACAAATACCTTGATAAGGAGACAGATCACAAGGGGAAAGAAAGAATGAATACAATAGGTAATTAGTCAGAATACAGGAAACGTTAAATATGGACTGTACTAAGAACATTACCTGATCTTCAACTTTCAACAGTCTCTTGGTTTTTTTTTTTTTTTTTTTTTTTTTGGGGTGAGGGGGGGGGGGGCAAAGGAGGATCAAAAGCCAATAAAGCTAGGGTACTAAAATTTTAAACAGCTAAGATAGCATACAAATTGATGATTCTTTGAGGCACTCCCTCTCACAAGGATTAGGAGGGTATGAGTAAATTTGTACAACACTGTGACTGCATTGGCCTTTGGCTATTAATACCAAGGCCAGAGGTGATCTATGAGTTTTGCCAAAGCTGAAAGAGGGAAAATGCTTTCTGAAAAGGGTACTTTGATTAATAATCAAAAGGTGAACCAGATTTCATGAGAAGATATGCAACAAAATAGATACAAAGTATGTGATAATTTAAAATTACCTTAAGATATATGTCAATAGCACGATAAAGGCCATCATCCAAGGGCCTTGCAAACTCCGGAACAGCTCCAGCAAGGGCTTGAAATTTAGGAAGTTTTAGATTAATATCAGGTGCCACCTCAGCAAGGTACCCATCAATCAATTTAGCAACCATTGTAATAGGGGTCAAAGAAGGTGAGCCTATCAATTGTCCATCATCAATGGAACAAGGGGAGGCATCCCCATTTGCCTGATCCATGATGAGGAAATGCTCAAGAATCCTCTGTACGCAATCCACATTATATAGAGTTTCCATTGAATAAGAAAAGTTAGGCATTAAAAGGTCTTCCAAATTGGCTTGATCAAGCTGCATTCCAACTCTCTTTTCCAAGGTTGATATGCAAGCTGAGTCTGCTCGAAGTATCATGGCAGTACGAAGGAGGCCAAAAAGGAACTTGGTTGAGACAAGCCCCTTCTGCATGGGAAGCAATTGGTCAATCTCTTCAACGAATAACCTCTGGTCTTCTTCAGACGGTGGACTTGACATAGATGGCGGCCCAAGACGGGAGCTGGAATCACCTTGCCGCCGGTTCAGTCCAGGTAGATATCTTTTAGCATAATAAGCAATGGAGCCAGAAATAATCTCTGATTTGATGCCCCGAGATTCCATGACTGATATCAGCCTCTTGTAAAGAGGGAAGCTCAAAGTTGATGCGTCATCATACCACCAATCCGAGCTTGAATTTTTAGGTCTAGCACCTGTGCTAATGCCATTCCACAGAACACTGCCACCAGGACTTTGCATTGGGCCACCACGCTCCACAACAGGCCAGCCAAATAGATTGGGGTCAGTGCTTGCCTTGACAGCCAATGCTTCAGTACATCTCTTTGTAATGTTGAGTTGATCAGCAAAGGAAAGTATGTCATCGCAAGTTTGGAGAGCTCTCAAAGACTCTTTCCAACTTTTAAGGACCACTTGAGTTAAGAATGTTTCTGTTTGAAAAATCAGATTACCTTCTCCATACTCTTCAGTCATTTCAAGATGTTCAGCAGCACAGCGCAAGTATACAACATTTGAGGATGTAAGTTCAAGTTTCACTCCATAACAGAACTTTGCAACAAGTTCAAACATTTTAGCTCCACCAGGCAGATCACTTAAGCTTATAACAGAACCCTCTTCTCCTTCAACAGCTTCAGCAATTAATCTTTCCATGACACCACTCCGTGAGAGTAAAGGAAACTGTAGCAGAATAGTTGTGAAATTATGTCAAGGGACTCATGGCACAAAAAAATAAAATAAATTTTGGAATTTTTTTTTCAACAGCAATTCATAACAATCCATCCAAAACTACGTAAAATACATTACAAATGTAATCGCAACCCATCAAAATCTCATATCCCACCTGGGCCATTCATATTTAACAATTCCAAATCATCACAAGAAATTCCAAAAAAAAGATAATAAATAAGGACATGAAGCAAAAACAGCAACATTAGGTGCATAAGTTTTATCTTAAAGTTCACTACCAAGAATGCTATAAAATAACATGGAAATCCTTACATCAATGCTCATATAGCCTAGTCCAAGCCACATATGATGCATCTAGCATAATTGCATTATCAGCATAAACTAGATTATGCAAGTGTCAAAAGCAAAACTAGAAATTCATCTTTCCTTTTAATATTCTGAACATTAATGCATAACAGATATTTGGTTCTGCGATAATCATGTGATTTCTTGGTACGCTATTCAAAACTGTTAGCTCATCTAAATATATTGGTATATTTGCTAGGCAAGAAAAAAGAAGAAGGTGTTACAACCTAAAACTGTGGACATAAAAAAAAAGATCATTAACAATATTTCAAGCGTAGAAGCAAATTTTCCCACAAATTGATAAATGAAAAATCTTGAACTTAGATGGTTTCCAACAAAATCACAATGGACAGACTAATATTTTTAAACAATAATGGTTTTGCCACCTTCCTCGTATATTTATGCCAACTATATAGCAAGAGAAATGACATTTGATCCCAAAGCTTGAATTTATCCAGAACTTCATTTTAACCTACTCATATCTGATCCTTATTCGATAAAGAAACTGAAGCTTGGTGCATATTGCAAAATTAAATTAGTTGTTTGCAGACAGTTCATGAGAAGTTTCTTAATAAGAGAAGAGATGAATGTGTATATAATTTAAATTGAATGTGCATATTTTTTCTACTAAATGTGCAAATTTGATATTTTGAGCTAATATTTTTTCTACTAAATATGCACATTCAATTTCTTGAGAAAAGGAATAGTGCACATTATGTTTACAATTTATGCACATCAAATTTTAGTCAAAAATTTTTGGCACAATATATAAAACTAAAAGTTTCATGTTGCACAAAGGCTAAATGAAAGAGAGGAAATAAACAAAATAATTTCCCAAATCAACTAGTATAAATTCCCAGCCAAGCTAGTGATAAGACCGTATACACTCATCTTGTTGTTGACTTCTTGTAACCAATTTGGTTACCTATATTATTGGTTTAGCCTGGATTTATGATTGGTAGATCTAAATTGACACGATTAAAAGTTGAATAAATACGGAGTATTTTTCAAGGCTGTACATAATGTCTTTGACATGGTAGAGCATACTGCATAGCTTGTCTTATTTTAATAAATTATAGTACATTTTGTATGAAAAAATAAGCAATTTAAATGCTTTAAGCAAGCTACAATGTATTGGTTGACACTTCCTCCACCCTTATTTATTGAAACTTCCTCCGCCCTTACATTCCAATGTATTGGTTGACACTTCCTCCACCCTTATATTTCGATAGAGATAGTAATAACAACATAAAGGTTCATTGAATTTATCTCGATCCTATAAATCGTCTTTTCTAACAAACCATCTTATTTCTGTGATCAAAACTTCTCAGAATATAATGGAGAGAACAGATTAAAGCTATTATACACTCAACAAAAACAAATTACAGTGAAACATCAGTGCAAATGTTTTTTACTGGAAAACAGAGATTTTCATCAATGGGAAGTTGATTTAAATTAAATGGATGATTGCCAAAAGAAAAGGAAGAAAAGAGGTACAAATTACCTTGTGGAGATGGAATGACATTTCTCCAACTTCAACGACAATATCACTTGGAAGACCAGTTGTGCAGAACCTGTAAATAATTAAGAGCAATTTTCCAAAGTGTAAAATCAGAAAACAAACTTGATATATAAAAGGAGACTTATGCGAGAACCAATGGCGGATGCTGCTCATAAAATTATGCAAACAATAACAAGTTTCTTGAGTAGTGGATATAAGTTCATAAGTTAGCTAAGGCTCTGTGAGGCATATAGAAGAGTTTTATATGTCAACCACGATGGAGTAATTTTGAGAGCAATGGAGCACATGATTAACAACAATTCCAAAACATTGGTAAGAATGAAATTTCTCAAGTCAAATATGACAGTTTGGTTTAAAGTTGAAACAGTCACTTTTAGTCTTTTACTCATTAACCTCTCTCTCAGTTCATAAACAACTAATCCATTATCATTTTCTGCTACATTTTTTTTGTTTGATCTCATACATTTAGCTTATTTCTTCCCATTTACCATAAATAACATGTATTCCACCACCACAACTAATGAGCCATCTAAGACCAACAGTCTTTGTTACTCGGGACGTGGATATCAGTGCCAAATGGAGAGCTATCTACAGATTAGGACACAGGACACAGCATTTGTCAAACTTAAGCCCTACTTAACAAGAAGCTTACATATAATTTCACAAAGACTGGATTGTTAGCTAGTTTCTTATCTCAATCCCCACAAGCCTGAGAGTCCGAAATAGATACATTAAGCAAAATAAAAGTTGAGATGACATAGTTTAGAATTCAGCACCATGATGAAGTCTTCTTAAACAAAGTATGCACTAAAATAAGGCCAGTAACAAGCAATAAGCCCAAGTTCTAACAAGAAGGCTGATATAGAGAGAAACAATTAGATTCCTCTCATCTATCAGTCTACCTATTTTTCTGTTACAATTCTCTAAATCTTTCCTTTAGGAAAAAAATGCTAGAAACATAGATAGATACGCAACATCGCCAAAATAGAACGAACAAACTGGCAACATTCATCACAAATCCTGACTAAATTACTTTAGCTTGAAAAAAAGTGTCATATACAAACATTTTATGATAATGCCTTATTCATTCCATCTTGCCCTAGTCTTAGTAGCGAGTATCGAGCACATATACTTGAGGTAAAATGACCAGTCTGAGTAACACTAATCCTAATGTTCCTAACCCGAAGAGGCCGCTGATTCGGGATTATAACAGCAATAACATCAAAGCATTAAATAATATAGAATGAAACAGAAATCAAAGATGAGAGAAACCATTACCATGCCTGCCCTTTTCTCTGAAATGCATCACTCTTAGATCCCAACTTCACACAAGCCATTTTTTCCACAATGCAGTCCAAAAATCAAAGTGACAGTAACTCGCTCCCTTCTTCAGAGAACACAAATAAGCACCCTTCAAATCAAATTTACCAAAACCTAAAAATTTCAACACAAACTCAAATGTAGCCTCTTTACTGAGCAACTCTGCATCAAAATCAACCCTAAACCTCAACAAAATCACCCATTTTTAATGTAAATTCACCCTAAATTTGAGCAAATCAACGAGTAAAGAAGCAAAACCCAGTTCATTCCAATCACAAAACAAACTGCTTAAACAAGCAAAACCCAAATCTGTAACCAAAACTAACCTACCTTACCAAAACAACCCAGAAAAAATAAATTAAAAAAACACAGAAATTAGGTCAACCCCTCAAAGATTCTTCCTTCAAAATTGATTAAAACCAAAAAAACAAAAAACCCAACTCAGAAAAGAAGAGCAAGAGGCAGAAGAATCCAAAATTTGACCTTAATAAGGGGGATATTAATCATTACACTACACTGTACTAAAGTATAAAGGAAAGAAAGGGAACAAAGAGACAGCGTTTTGCTGTAACTTTTTATGGCTTCTAATGACAAATTAAATATGATTTACAAAGGGTAATAATTGTAGCAATAAGGAAAGGGACCCCTAAAGCTGAGAAATAAAAAAAACTTGAACATGCGTATTAATGGCAGCTTGGAAAAACTTACCAAATAACTTACAAAAAATATAGTGTAACCTCCCTTTTTGGGTGAGCATGTGGGGGTTTTTGCCTTCATGAGTACTCATGTTTTTCTTGAAATTTGCTGCTTAGATTCTTTTTACTAGGCGTTTCAAATTTTATTTTACTGCGGCAGTAGTTTTTACTAGTAGGATGATTTGTTTTTAGATAACTGACTCGGTTGATACTAAATTAATCTCCAACCCATTTTTTTAATTGAAATTAGTGGTGCTCTCAAATTGATGTTTTATAAGAATTATTTATAAAACATAATTCAGAGATAACAAATATGGTAAGAACATTAATTCATAAACAAAGATGGTAAGAACGTTAATTCATTTTTTTATTGGTATTGTGTTCAAACCTTGTGATAAACATTTTTATTGCCATTAAAAAATATTTATAATACTTGATGATGATGTGGTATACATCTAATACATATGAGGGTGCCACGTGACACATATTCTGTTTTAGGAACGCTTTTTAATATAGAAAAGTATAGATACTTTATGAGTGATTTTCATGAAAATTTAAAAAAAAAATCAAAATTCCATAATTACACTACTTTTTTAATTCCATAATTACACTACTTTTTTTATAAAAATTCCCTACATACCATCCACGTCATATATTCTATTTAAAAATGATTTTATTTTTGGGATAGGAACAAAACCGCTAATTGAATTAGCAGTTTTACCTTACATAACCGCTATTTCAATTAGCGGTTTATCTTTTATGTAAGATAAAATTGCTAATTTAATTAGCGGTTTTGCTCTAAGAAAAATATATTTAAAGAGGTTGGATGACTTAGACGGCATGTAGGGAATTTTGATAAAAAGTAGATTAATTGAGGAATTTTTAGTTCTTTTAGCCATACCCATGAAAATCGCTCATACTTTATGGAGTAATTGTTTTATTTTGTAAAATAACTAGGTTAGCTCTCATGTCATGCAGGATAATTTCACAATTTAATTTAAAAAGATTAAAAATTTCTTTTTATAAAAATACAATTATATTTATTTTCTTCTTATTTTGCATATACAGAGTGAAATGACAAATGAAATATAATGAAAGAGTTGATTAGACAAATCTAATAAATTTCATATCGTATCAGTAATAAATAAAGTCGGATCTCGCAGCCAGACCACGAGACAACGACACTTGACATTCCAGTTTTTCGTCAAGTGTCGCACCATGTAGACGACAAATTAGATAGGTATTATTGTGACACATATGATGATAAGTAAACGAATTTTGGATAGATTTTCTAACATAAAAATAATATATAGAGTTTTATATCGATATTATTCTAATATTTCATATATACAAAATTAATCATAACTTTTAATAACTATCAGATAACTCGATTTTATTTCCATTATAAAATTCGTTTTTAAAAGTTCTTTAAAATAAAATCCATTCGTAATATATTTAACTTTTTAAATAAAATAATAGAAAATCTGTAAAAATAAGTTTTAATTAGTAAAAATAATTCTGGTTTGGTAAAAATACTTCAATTCAGTAAAAAAATTAAAATAATTTCAAGTTGATAATAACATAGATATTTATTTACAAACAAAACTATAGAAAGTACACTATTATATAAATTAGCGATATGATAGTGTATGTCTGAATATCCTGCATCATCAAAAAAGATTATATAACTATATTTAACATTTAACCAAAAAAGTTTATTTTAAAATTTTATAGACCATTTGGGCATTGTTCAAGCAAAAAACTAGTGTATATATATAAGGGGGAGTTTTTCCCAAGAATTTAGAGCATCACGTAAGATTATAAATTTCTTAAAAAATTAGAATGCCACATAGGATTATATTAGATTTTTAAAACTCCACGTAAGATAAATATATTAGATCGCAATGTAGGATTGTAATTATAATAAAACAAATATGAAAAGGAAATCTAATCTAATATACTACCTCCATTTCCGAAAGTTCGACTCACTTACTATTCATGTGGTCAAAATAAAATAACTTTGACCACATGTTATGATTCATACAATAGAAATAATTAGCATGAGGGATCTTATTAAATTTTCCTTATTATAAATTTTTTAAATATCAACTTATTATAATTTTCACTTATACATAACCGAAGATAATCACTGTAATACCCCATATTTTTATACGTATTTATTCCATAAAGTATTTAAATAATTTGAAACAATTATTTATGGTATTTTATTAATTTAAAAAGGGTTTATTTTAATTAAAGGTCCATTTTATTTATTTAATGGTTTTAAAAATATTTTATTTTATTATTTAGAAACTTTGGGGTATTATTTTATAAAAAGGAAGTTTTAAAGTCAATGGAATTTTACAGAAGTCAAATGACTAGGGATCATTAACGGTAGAAAGAGAATTTAAGGTTAGGAGGGTTTTTGAGAGGGGCATCTTATGAGCAAGTTAGGTATTGCCCAAGGTGGAGAATACTCAAAGGTAAACTCTCTCTTTCCCTTAATTTTAACCCTCCCCTTTTATTTTGCACACCCCACATGCATACACAAGGTGGCCGACCGCCACCACCACGTCCCAACGGTCGGCCACCGTCACCAGCAATTGCCAGCAGCAGCAGCCGCCGGTGTAGATGGCGACAGTAGCCCCCCCCCCCCCCGGTCGTGCGGTGCAGTTTTTACATTAAAAAAAAAAAAAGTCTCTCTTTTGTTTTAAATTAATCTAGCTTGATTTAATTATTGTTTTTGGGTTTTGTGATTATTTTTATGATGATTATTATGTACGTAATTTTCAAATTTAATTTTTGAAATAAAAAGCCCCAAATTGAAAACCCTAGGTTTCTAAATTAATGTAGATTGTTGGAAATTGATTGTAGATGATTGAAATTATTGAAATAGATGTTTTTAAACATAATTACAGCAATTTTACATGTTTTTCTAAAGCTGGAATTTTTATATAAAGGTTAAAATGATGTTTCTTGAAAGGATTTTTAATTACCCATTAATTGGGAATAAAAACAAGGATTTTAAATTAATTTTCAGCTTGTTTTAGAGGGTTTATAAGTGATTTAAAGAGTGTATATAATGCTGGAAATTTATATTGAATAGGTATTAATGTCTCTTTGTAATTTTGGGTTGTAGGAGACTTCCAAGTGAGTGACTTTATTTAGTCGTGGCGATTTTGAGATCATATTCGAGGTACGTTCGCGTACTCGGTAATTATTTAAGTGTATAGAAGCATGCTAGGCTTTGTTTAATTAATTCCAAGATAGTATCTTGATAAGTATTGGTTGGAATTATTGATTGGATTGATGGTTGTGATTGATTTGTGAAGTATAGATTATTTGTGGTGAATTGATGATTGGAATTAACTACGTTAGCATGTTGATTATGAACCACACTTTTATTATTGGCATGATAGAGAGCATGTTTGATTAAACTAAATGTTTAATTGAGTTTGGAATGTTGAAAGAGAATTTTATTATGATTCATATAATTTTTATTAATACTATAAGCATGGGAAAAGAGTTATTTAAGTGTGTATGTGTTGGGTTTCGTAGCGTCTAATGCTACGCGGAAGAGAAACCAGCCCAAGACCCCCCCACTAATTAAAGCAACTAAACATGCAATCACATAATTAACAACATAAGAGAGAGAAAGAGAAAAGACGTTATTACCCTTGACGCGTACTTCGCTCGAATCACGAGCTCTTACTTCAAAGCTCGAGCCATGCAAGTGCGACAGCCTCCTACAGCTCGCACCCTCGACCCGGCCCAAACGGTCTTAATCCCGAAGGTTAGTCGGGACTTGACCAAATAAAACTAGAGTATTACAAACTTAAAGGTTTTCTCACTAATGATGAGATGCCTTATTGAGTTCAACTCAAGTGATTTTTCCCAAACCCAAAGCTTGGGTATTTATAGGGAATGGAGCCTTGATCTCCCTTCTCCTATCAATGTGGGAGATTTGCATTTTCCTCTATTTTATTTTAATCAAAAACAAAATAAAAATGCAAGGCAATCAACAAGCTCCAAGTGTCACATGGAGGGAGAGAGTAGGTGAGGACCATTCAAGGGGGGGGGGGGGGTTCCAAATCCCTTTGCTCACCAAGCAACCCTTCAATTTCGGTCCCCACACAAAAATCGCACCACCTCGCCACTTGGCTGGATGGCAGCCTGCCTTTGCTGCCAAGGCTGCCAGTTGGCGCCTAGCACCAAGGTTGGGCAGCCGAGCCAGCCAGCTCGCAACACATGCGTAGCCAGCTAGCACGCAGCCAACCAGCACACGCATGCGCTGCTGCTGCTGTTGTGCGAGTGGCGAGTGCTTGGTGCTGCTATGCTAGCAAGCACGCACAACCACACAAGCACGCATGGCTTGCGATGCTGTGTGCTGTGCTGTGCGATGCCCAAGCATGCTGCGATGCTAGCAATGATGCGGCTGGTGCTGCTATGCTAGTAAGCACGCCCAGCCATACATGCATAGCCACAGCACACACACGCATGGCACGCATCTTGCGATGCTTATGTTGTACAATGCTAGGCACCCTATCACGCATGTGGTTTGGGACCTCGCCTAGCCTAGCACTCGCATGGCTAGACCAATGCGATGCTACAACTTGGCTTGTACTTGTCACTTGCTCGATTCCACATCTTGCCGAATTCCGAATTCGACTCGACTTACGACCCCACTCGGTTTCAACGCTCTAAGCTCGATATCCGACGTCTTTGTTCGTAATATTCTAATGACTCATCTAATCCTTTCGGATTGATTCGTCGTCTCGGATCGGTTATTCGATAGGGGTGCAACCCGAAGGGTTTGTTCAGTCTAGATTAAGCCGTAATATTAAATATGCATTAATATTACTTATCGGAAGCGGCCTCCACCTAGGCATTCCGATCACTTGACCTTACTGAAGAATTAGCTTTCTAATAATTCCAAACCCTCTATCAGAATAATACACTTGTTGGAAGGAAACCATTCCTTTCACTATGTAAATAAGGATTAAATTATATTTTGGTGCCTAAGTGCACTTAAGGTGTTCTAAAGACC